GCAGCTAAAGTGTTCATCAATACATAAATGGATAAAGAAGAAGAAGTGGTACACATACACAATGGAGTATTATTCAGCCATAAAAAGAAAATAAATCCTGCCATTTGCAACAACGTGGCTGGATCTAGAGGATATGTTAAGTGAAATAAGCCAGGCAAAGACAAATCCCATATAGTTTCTCTTATTTGTAAAATATAAAAACAAAGCAAAACAGGATGAACAAAACAGCAGTAGACTCAGAGACACTGAGAAGTGACTAGTGGTTACCATGGGGGAGGTGCGGGAGTGGGTAGTGGGGAGGTTGAGGGGGATGAAGGGGCTCAAAAATTCTCAGTCATATATAAGTTGGTCACAGAAATGGTAGTACAGCAGGGAGAATATAGCCAATGATTCCACATCTTTCTATGTTGACAGATAGTAACCACACTAGAGGGGGTGAGGATTTGGTAATATGGGTAACTTAGAACCACTGTGTTATATATTCAAGACCAATATAAAATTGTATATCAACCACATTTTTTAAAAAAAGGATAAATACGTGATGTCAGGTAAGGAAAGTGAAAGCGTTATGACCAAACTAAGCAAAGCAAGGAGCAGGGGCTGACTGGAGCAGGGCGAGGGCTTATTTTAGTGTTCTTTAGAATACCTTGGTGGGTGCTGAGTCACTGGGTGGGCCTTGGTTTGCCTGTCTTACAATGTGGGTGCTGTTGGACTGAGAGGTCTGGAGGGCCTTCTAAGCCTCATGTTCCCAGTTTCTGCAGTTACAGAAGGCAGTGGCTGGACATTCCATGGCCTCTGGAAACTCTAGGCTGTCATTATCTGGAACTGGAAAGAGATTTGCATGGAACAAGGAAGACCAGAGAGGGTTGATGCCACTCTGGGAGAGAGCCCCATGGCCAGCTTTCTTAGTCGTTCTGAAAATAGTGACATGATTGCCTGCTATTGACTTTGTGTGAGATGCTGTTGGAGAGGGGTCTTCCCAACTTAGACTCTTACAGTGCCAGGCTTTGTGCTGAGAGCCATACTCTCAACACTCATGATACAAGAACTGTAATGACTCCCAAGTTACAAATGAGAAAACTGAGGCACAGAGAGGTAAAGTATCTTGTCCCAGGTCACACAGGCAGGATTATAGTTTACATCTCTCTGACCCTGAACTGTGCTCTTAATCTCTGACTCTAACAGCCAGAAAGGGATTCTGTTCAAGGAGAGAGAGAGATGGAGTACGAGAGGTCTCAGGAAAGAAGGAATGGGAGCTAGACGGAGAGGGTGAGGGATTTGAGATTGCTTCCAGGAGGGGGAGGCATTCAAGTTGAGCCATTAAGGACAGAACTGGATGTGGCTTCTTGGGCTTGGGGCCTCGGGATGCTCCAGGTTTGCACCAGCCTCAATTACTCTGGCCTGGGAGGCCTGAGGAAAGGGACATGGGCAGCTTTACCCTTTCTAGGCTGATCTCAGCTCCTTTTTGGGCCTTATGCTGCCTGTTGACTCCCTGAATCACTTCTCTGCTTGAAAGGAAGCTGGGAGAGGATATGAAGTGTGTGGCCCTTGACATCCCCCAGACTCACTCCACGTCAGGGGTAGAAAATAAGGACGGGGTGGGGGAACTAACACCAGGGGACATGGACTGTGGACCCAGCCCTTCACCTTGTTTCATCCTCCTAATTACCCCAAGAAGTGGGTCTTTTAGCCCCCATTTTACCAAGGAGCAAAATGACTCAAGCTTCCCTTCGTCTGGCAGGTGCTGCACCCAGGATTTTAATCAAGCACTTCTGGCCCTAAGCCCCATGTGGGCCTTTTTAGTTTTGTTTTCTTTCTTGTTCTTACTTCAGTCCCACGCAGAATTGGAGATTTCGATTTCGTTCTCCAAATATTTGACTACTGCATTTTGTTTTGTGGGAGCCAAAGAAGGATCTATTGTAACTTTTTTAAGGGTCTGGTCAAATTATTTTTAATCTTTTGGAGGTTAGTGCTTCTTTGTGGATCTGAACTGACAATCTGAAGTTTGATGCCCCAGAAAAATTTACATAGAGACATATGCCCATGAAAGAGAAGAACATCCATGTGCCTCTTGGCCACAACTGAAGCAGCAGAAGTTAAAAACCCACAAATCCACAAATAATTTTTTGTGCTTTCAGAGAGATTCTCAGAACTTGGAAAAGGGGAAATTAATTCTTTAATTTCAGGAGGTTGGGCTAGTTTCATAGATAAGTTCCCTAAACTATCTGAAGTAGCCGTCTCCAATCTTTGTGCTAGTGTACTCTCTAAACGAGTATTGAAAAATGATGTGCTTCCTGGCACAGTTTTTAGTTGATAGCTAATCTTTTTCATCAGAAGTTTAAATAGTTGCAGAGCTTATAATTTCCAACATATTGTACAGGCATACACTTAAAAATAAATTGTTATATCATTCTTTTAAATGTATCCAGTTGAATTAAATACCCTAATAGCAATTTGATAGCTACAACCAACCATTTAAAAAATACATGAACAGGCTCTTCTCTAACAGTCCAAAATTTTACATCATTCCCTTTTCTATTCAAACTTAAATTGCTACTCCATGTTCCACCACAAAATTTTACTATAATGTATTTTTTATGCTTAAATGGGATGGCAATAACTCTACCATATTTCTCCGTCTAAAAATATATATGTAAATTGAATTATTATTTTACTTTCTATGACCCTAGACTGGGTATTACATTTTTCTATCATTACAGTTATCATTAGAATGCAATTGATCAGGATAGTATAAATGTATTACAATTTTTAAAAGTTCCACAAAAATTTTTAACAGCTTTATTGATATACAACTGAAAAAAAATAAACTACACATATTTAAAATGTATAATTTTAACATATGTATACACTTGTGAAACCAATCCTACAAACTTTGATAAAAACAGGTATTACACAAAAAAGTAAATTGAGTGATTTTCCTCCTCAATTAGTTCACACATCCCTGGGTGAATATTGCTTGTGTTAGAATGAGCTAGGTTTGGGCAATAATTATATTCTTTTTTTTCTTTTATTCCTATTTTTTCATTTTATAGTGATGTGCTGAAGCCAGCTTGTACTGGTTCAATTTTCAGGACTCTCGGGGTGGTTGTTTAAACATAACTATTACTAAAATTTAAATAATATAAACTTACAGTTAAGTAAATTGTATTAAAAACAAAGGCAGTATTCAAAACTCAGCACTTCCTAATTATTTTATTATATTTTATTGTTATTTATGCTTTTGATATTATTTGCACCTAATTGTATCTGTGTGGTAGAAATACTGCTCGCTTCTAACGAACTCCATATTCAGTGACTTCACATTGGTAGCTTGAAATGAGCCCTGATTGCAGTATTTACGCCACAGAAACTGGCAAATGGTACAAATTAACACTTCCCACCTCCCCCACCCTATTGTTAAATATTTACCAGCACACCACTCAAAGTTCTGAGAAACCTTCTTCACTTGAAGAAATTGCTGTAATGCAAGGAGTTTTGTTCATACAATGTGATGACAGATAACAAACCACATAGTGATCTATCAACAAGAATTGTATTAGCGATCTATCTACTGACAGCTAGACTAGGCCCTCCTTCAGTTCTGTGGAAAGCAAAGATTGCAACAACATTCTGACTTGTAAATGGATTTCTTATTCTGACATGAAATCCACTCAGTTTCTTGCTTCATTTCCAAATCCTAGGGAAGGGTATTGATAATTGCTGGAAAAAATTGCTTATCTTTAAATCCATCGGGATAAACATGATTAGCACTCCAAGCTTGCGTTACTGTCAAAGATCTCTGCCTAAAAATTTTTTCGTTCTTTGATAATAATTAAGGGATGGAAGAGAGCAAATCACTTCCAATTCTCCACTCCACAACAAATATGAATTCATAATATGCCACCAGAGGCCAAAATACTCTGTTTCTGATGCCATGCTTCAGGCTTAGGGGGAAAAACAAACAAATATGATTATGTAATATATAATTACGTAATGATTATAATAATTATATATGTAATATATATTATTGTATAATATATAATCATGTAATTATGTAATATATATTACATTATATACAATATATGCTACATATAGATACACAATATGTATCAAAAAGGGAAAGAGATTAGGCTAGACACCTTAAGGATTGTATCACCACCCCATGAACAGTTAGGAGGATGCAGGGGTAAGGCCGACACAGACTTTCTTTCACAAAGGGTGGAAGCAGATCTGAGAATGCAGACAGGCATACAGACCAGTTCTCAGGAGATCAGACTCTCCAGGAAGTTCAAAATCTGGAAAACGAATCCTTTAGAACAGTGGTCAGCCCCCCTAAGACCAGAAAGCCTGCTCACTGCTTGGTTGTTCAGTCCACTGCTAAGAATGGCGTCTACATTTTTTAATGGTTGAAAAAATATTCAAAAGTGAATGATATTCCATGACCCGTGAAAATAATAAGAAATTCAAATTTCAGTGTTCCGTACTGTTTTATTAGAACACAGTCATGCTCATTTCTTAAAGTATTTATGGGCTGCCTTTGAGCTACGACGCTATAGAGTTTGATCAACTGTGGCAAGAGAACGTAAGGCCGGCAAAGACTGAAATATTTAGCTTAAAGAAAGCATGCTGGCCCCTTACAACTCTCCCATTTGGGAAGTCTTACGAGGGGAGTGTACCCCGTTTGAAGAGGGCGAGTCTCAACTGAAGACTTCGGGCAAGTCCTTCCCGTCCGTGGGCCTCAGTTTCCCCAACTATAAACAGGGTTAGACGCAGCCATCTCTGGGGCCGTCTAGCAGGGGATCGAATGGGTCAGTAAAGAGCGCTGGGGCTGCTGGAGGACTGGGACTCGGGGTGGACTGGGAGCCGGCAGGAGCGCCCGGGGCGGCTCCCTCGGGGTTTCCAGCTCTGCGCGGGCGGCCGGGCGCAGCGCCCCGGAGGCCCAGATTTCGCGGGGGAATTCCGGGCGGGGAGCGGCGGCGGGGGCGGGGCGGGACCGGCCTCCGCCTATAAGAAGGGCCGCGCGCCCGCGCCGGTCACTCGCCTGCGCGCCCTCGCCGGACTGCGGTACCATGGCCCCCGCCCGCCTGTTCGCGCTACTCCTGCTCCTGGTTGGCGCCCCCGCCGCTGCCGCCGAGTCGGTGGGTGCTGGGAGATCCCCGGGGGGCGGGGGGTGGACCGGTGCCTCCTTTGTTCCTGGGGGCTTGGGATTGGGGGCCCTCCGGGGACTGCGCCCGCCCCCCCGCAACTAGACGCAGAGGCCGGGGAAACTTTGTTGGAAACTTGGCTCCGGGGTCCCTGGGAGGCTCCGGCGTGGGGTGGCTCCTCCGCGCGCCCTGCACGCCTAGCCTGTGGCTCTCCCGCCTCCCTCCGGCCTCGCCCCGCCGCGGACTCTAAGCTGGGACGTGACTAAGCCGGTGTCACCTCTTCTCCCTCACGCTCTTGCCCCTTCCCTGGTGATCCTGGGACAGGCTCGAAGCTCTGAATCCTCCTCCTCGCTCTCTGCGGGCGCCAGGAACGAGCAGCTTAGAATCCGACCCGGCCTGGGGACGGGGGTGGGGGCTGCATGTACTTGGAAGGGGGAGGGGTTTAGGGTTCTTGCGGGGCCTTGTTCGCACACGAAAGAGTGGAGAAGCGCGTCCTGGCCTCACTTCTGGCCCCAGCCCTGCCACTGGCTTGTGGCTTAGGACAAGGACCTGCCCTTTCTGAGAGACTCAGTTTCCCCGTCTGCACAAAGGGTAGTGAGGCAGCAGGTGACCGGTGCTGCATAGGGTCCCCACTGAGTTGGGACTCTGATCTTTCAAGGGCGGATGGTTTAGGATCAGCACTTCAAGAGCTTAAGCTCTTGCTTTCTGTAAGAGTGGTTATTTCTGTTGAACTGCAGAGGGGAAATCATAGCACCCATCTTGGGTGGGGGCTGGGGAGAGAAGGCCTCAGTGAGCCCTAAGAAGCCTCTCCTCACTGCTCTAGTTTACAAAGTCTGGGGCCACCAGAAGTGCCATTCGTCTCAGCAGCCACTTGTGGGAGCGGGGGTGGGCAATCTCATCTGGGAAGCTGGGGGCCTAGGAATTGTTGGGAAGCTATCTGTCCCCCAGGGGCTTGGGCTTTTTGTTCCCCCTTTGTGCCCTTAAGCCCCAGTTTTGTGGGGAGCAAGTTGGTAGAGTTAGGTCGTCAATGTCAATTCCTTTACGGGGCTCCTATTTCTCTGGGCTGACTTAGGGGTAAGTTATTTCTTCCCGCAGGCATCCGCGGAGGAATGAGCGAGACCCTGAGCAGTTACCTCCAGCACAGTTGTAGGGTGCAGTAATGAGAGCAAACACTGAGCACGGACGGGGCGCCTGGCACTGTTCTAATGGCTTTCTAAAGGGTGTTTTAATGACCTGTCCGTTAACTAGCTGAATTCTGACAACACAGTTTACGATTCTTAAACTCATCAAGGCTAGAGAGGTTAACTAATTTGCCCAAGGTCACACAGCTCATAAGGGGCTGAGTCAGATTCAAATTTGGCAGTCCAACTTCCAAGTTCCTGCTCTTAAGTTGTAGTCTGATACTACTCTGAGTGGCTGTTGTGTCCCTTCCTCGGGTAACTCAAGAGTTTAGAATCCGTTGAGATTTTGGGCTGGCTGGTCTCAAGGAATTCTGAAGTGGAAGGAAGCAGAGGCCCAGAGTGAGGTGATGACTTCCCCAAACTAAGGACAATCTTGCCAGAAGGTTAGTGGCTGAGCCAGGACTCCAAGGCCAAGCCAGCCTAGTGCTGCTCGGGGGCAGGGCTCTACCCTGGGCCCTGAAGATGTGGAGGTGAGCAGCTGGGGAGGCGTGTGAAGGAATGCCACTCTGGGCCCCGTGGGTGGGCCAGCGTTCGGGAGAGGAAAAACCCAGGAGGTGAGTTCACTGCATGGGCCCAGTCACGTGCCCATGTGGGCACAGGGGCTGCTGAGTCTGCAGGTGCTCAGTGTGAGGAGCACACAGCTGTGTCCAAGAGGCAGTCCGAGGGATGTGGTTTGGAGGAAGGGGACTGTAGCAGCCCTGCGCCTGGTGACCCATCAGCTGGGGGAGAAGGCGGCCCTGAGCAGCTGCTTCCTGACAGGTGTCCATCTCTCCCATCCTGACCTCAGCGCTCCCCTTCCTGGCTAATGTCACAGGCCTTCCCCTTTTGGTTGGCTCACAAGGCTTCCCCTTTTGCCTCCTTGCACCCTTTCCTCCCAAGGTTGTAGGTGGAAAAATCAGAACTAGTCACAGCTGGGTTAGATAGAGATCTAATCCATAGAGATGACCCGTTGGCCTTTTCTTTTTGCAGGTGGAGAAAACTGAGGCCCAGGGAGAAGGGTTTGCTAAAAGAAGTTATGAGTTACTGAGTGCTTTCCATATACCAGATGGTGCATTTTATCCTCACGAAAAGCCTAGCATGTGGGGCTTATATTGTGCCCACGTTACAATGAGGGGACCGACAGAGGTAAAACGGTACCACTTTGGGGTGACAGAGAGCATCCAGGCCACCAGAATCATGTCCAGTGATTTAGTCACCCCCAATAGCACTATTGAAGTTTAAGCCAAAGGCCTACCCTTCCCTTGGGTGGTGCCCCCCACACCCCAGCCAGGTGCCACAGATTTAGGCAAGGGAGTCCCGGCTGAGCAGCCAGCCTTTTCTCTTTGGTGGGACTTGCCACCCTAAACCAGTTCTTCCTGTCCAGCTGGGAGCATTCCCCTGAACAGCCTTCCTGCCACTCCCTCCCTGGCCAATTAAAGGCAGCCTTGTTTTGGGAGCCAGACCCCCCCCACCAGAGGTGTTGCTGCCCAGGGGCACAGCCCCCTGACATGGCACCAGGCCCAGTCCATTCTGGGGACATGTCCCCCGCCCTCTGGCCATACTTTAGCTTAGAGATATTTCTGGTCTTTTTGAGAATTCTCTCCTTGATTGTGCAGAAGGAGGTGTGGACGGAAGCCCAGGAGGTCTAGGACCCTTTGAGTAGCCAGAGAGCTCTTTGGAATTCTTAGAAGCACAGAGAACTATTTGGTTTGGAGGTCTTTGTGAGGTTGGGTCCGTTTTCCTCTCTGAGTTGACATCTCCCATCTGTAAAAATGGGGTCAACCAAATGGCCTTGAGAGTCCTTTCCAGCTCGGATATTCTGTTAATAATTAAGTGCCTACTCTTTCAAAGGGACCATGGAAACCATAAAGACATCTAAGGCATTACCTCCCTTAAAGAAAGTTATGGTTTGTGAGAGAATTAATATCATATGCACCCAGGGCAGGAACTCTGCTCTATTCATTTTTAGTGAAATAACCTGTCCCATAGTTAGTACTCAGGAAATGTTTGTATGATGAATAAATAAATTCATGCACATAACTTCATTCTGAAAGGTACATTGAGGTTATTTATTACTAATAGAAATGCCTCCCAGTGATTGTAAGGTAGGTATCATTATCTGCATTTTTACAGGAAACCGATGCTCAGTGGAATGTAGTGGTTTGCCAAGGTCAGAACCAGGTCTGTCTGATAACACAAGGTGTTTGCTTTGAGTGTCCTCCGAGAACATTCCAGATGAGGGAATTGGCTGGGTTTTGAGGTAGATACCATGGATTCTACTTCTCAATTGCTTTCTGGGTGACCTTGGGTAAAGATGACCTATCTTTGGGTCTCAGTGGAATTGGCTGGATTTAAAGGTAGATACTACTTATGAATTGCTGGGTGACCTTGAGCAAGGATGACCTATCTTGTGGTCTCAGTGTCCCCAACTCCATAATGAAGAGGTTGGACCAAAGCCCTGCAGGGTCCATCTGCCCTGAGACGCGCTGGTGGAGGGAGGGCAGCTTTCTTGGCCTCCATGGTAAAGAGGCTAAACAAGAGAAGTTTGGAGAGGGGTGGAGGGGGGCTGACATTCAGCACCTGCCACCCACAGCTCCTAGGAACAAGGCCTTTCCAAGGACTTGGAGTGCTGAGCCGGCCTAAATGATTGCTGGAGAGACAGACCGGGCTTTCCACCCCAGTTGTCTCTTCAGTTGAACTGGCTTCTAGTTGTCCTCAGCCTTCTGGACTGGTGGGTGTGATTTCCAAATGACTGTTTAAAATTTGGAAGGGGGCTGGACAGGTCTCTGAGTCACTGGAGGACAGTAGTAGCTGGCCCACCTGACTCACCCATTTCCTTTCAACCTCTTGGCTGATGGGATGGCCCTGCTGGGAGTGTTGGAATGGGCTCCAGGGTTTTACCTTTTCTTTGAGGGCTTATTAAAGATAAGTGCTTGGGAGGACACACAGGAAAAATTAGTAGTCAACCCCAAACCTTCACGGGGCCTCACCTGTGTGTGGACTTTGACACGGTAGAACTCATCCAGTCCTCCAAACTGGTCTGTAGACTTCTGCGGGGCAGGTAGTGCTTTTTTTCTCTTAAAGCAGAACTGAAGCTATAGCTGGTCTGAGCTCATAGAGTAAAGCTGGCACAGGCCAGCTCTGATTTGACCCCAGCAGTCTCTGATTTTTCTGATGGCCTTTCTTTGCTTCCTGGGATTGACTAGAGAGTGTTAGAATGTTGGTTGGTTGGTTTGGAGTTAGGCAGCCCTAAGTCCAGAGTTCTGAAGTCCCCTTCCTCCTACACTGGCTCTGGACTGGTCACTCAAACTCTGAGGCTCAGCTCCCTGGTCTGTGAGAAGATGGGCATTGTGGTGAAGCTTGTGGGAGAAGACAGGTCTGCAGGTGAGGCTCCCAGTAGGTGCCTGGTAGGGAGCAGTTCTTAGTGACAATACCCTTCTTTGCCCAGGCCACCTGGATGCCAGGTGGTCCTGTACCTTTGAGGATCCCACCTCCAGGGCCCCTGGAAGGCTTTTTCCCTTCCCCCAACAGCTGCAAGTTGGGAAGGGAGGAGTCGAGGGTGGAGCTGATGGAGCCCAAATCTGCTATTTGTGTTTGTCTTAGAAGTGGGCTGTTTGCTAATTATCAAATGGGTTTATATTTAAACAAGAACCAGTTCTTGGCAGCCCCACCCCTCCTGCTGGGATCTATGGGAACCCCCAAAGGAGTAGCTTGCAGCCTGGAGGGGGCAGGGGAGTTGCAAAGGGTATGGGACCACCAGGCCCCTTTCCAGGACTAGGGGGTCCCTCTCTGGAGTTGGAGGGGCACGGTTTCTGGTCCACAGAGGCTGAGTGA